GGCTATTACGTCACTTAGAAACCATTTGAACATGTTTGTTATGCTAATCAAAAACAACTGTCACGGAAAGGTGTGCAAATCTAAAAAATTCTTAAAACTCTTTACTTTCAACAAGACCTTAGATGAGGAAAAACAAGTTTAGTTTCTTGGATGCCTTACATGGGTTTGTTGTTGTCAACAGGTCAGTATATGGTTCAATTATTTTTCACTGAGTTCTCCTTTGTCTCAGGGGGCAATAATATGAAAAAAAAAACTATGATTTCAGTTACCTTCAGTTTTCATGTCACATGGAGACTGAACAGTCTTTCCGGGTACAATCGAAAAAAAACAGTATCTGCCGCTGACCACATGTCCTCCTTCACTCATTTTGATTTCCTGGCAAGTCTCTGCGGGCAGCTCAGGAATGGAACCGAGAGCGACTGGAAGAAAGTAACCGCGTAAAAGTTGTCTCATGTGGCTATTGTATCATATGCTGTGGTTTTTATTGGTTGTATGAATGAAAAAAGCTTACCAATTCACTTTCAAGCTGTAAGTAGCGAGAAGAAAGAATTTTAATTATCAACAAAGAAATATAGTTTGATTAAACGACAAATGATATGAGATGTATGGCGGACAGAGGAGAAAGTTTTTATTTAGGTCTTGACTTATTTACTTCTGTTCTGTTCCCGTTTGAAGTAATACCGCTCGGGGTTCGGAACATAATCCTCAGGCGCAGCCTCCTTGCTGCGGTTATTTAATTCACAAATGTTTTGAGTGAAAACGTAGTTGAAACTTCGGCATCGGATGTTAGCGACACACTCATGGTAACACACGTTCTCCCGGGCAGCTCCCGTGATCCTTTTAAAGGTGTGACGTTGAAGCATCATACCAAATTTGGAGACTTCACCCACGCTACATTGTTTTGCGCTAGCATTGGAAAACACCTTACACACGATGAGTGCCACTGCTATTTGGCACAGCTTTGGGAGGACCATTCTCTTCAGCGCTGCAGCGAAGATGGCCTGAATTGTCAAAAAAATATTTGTTAAAAATATCAATAAGTTTAGTATCTCTGCGTTTAGAAAACATTGTTGGTTATTGTCTTACTTGTTTTGATTTCGGGCCATACGATATCAATCTTAAAGAAATTGTTTATGTTTTTAACCCTCAAAATTGGTTTTTCACTTTCCTTGTTTTAGTCGACCAACAAAATATCCATATCAAAATCTGAATTATTAGCCACTCTCTTAAACTTCGCAACATCACAATAGCTTTGCATGGTGGGAGAGGAACGCGAAGAACACGCGGCAATGCTCGACAATGTGAAGGACGCGCGTGCAATTAGAGGGAGGGACTCACAAGCAGCAAATTAAGGAATTCTTGCCTCGACTTCCTCGCACACCATAAGTTTTCAGGCGCTCACGACTAATAATAATTTCAATGTGAATTCTTTCTTTCATGTAACTTTACCGCGCACTTCGCTACTTTCGATTTGAGTCAGATTTCATCCTATTTTCAAACAATTAAACGGTTATTTACAAAAAGCATCAAAATTTCGTACGATCACGCACCCACAAATTTCTGCGTCGAACAATAACCGCTTTAGAACTAAATGGTTGCTCACAGAAAAAAAACCGGTGCTCAGTGAATTACTAAGAAGTTGACTTTATTCAATATTAGCAGCTTTTAAATGTAACTGAATCGTTCAGTCCATTTCGAAAATTTAGCCTTAAGCCGAATTCATCTCGCGGATCTCCGCTCCACGGCTTAGCTCGCCGTGGCAACTGATGGTGATCGTTTCAAAATTGTCATCTCTAAATAAATAACGCTTCTAAATATGAAAAAGAAAATCCTACTCACGTTTAATTTTCGCCATCTGCTAGCTTTTTGTTTCTTGAACCCCATGTTGGTACGATACAAACTGAGTTACGTATCCGCACAAGGGAATGATTATTTTACCTCTGCAGCAAGACATCGGCAGTCGAGGTAGTCCGTTAAGTTAGGGAATATTATGATTAGTACACTTTATCCATATTAACGATTATACTGCATGCAGCGAGGACGTAGCAAAAAAAAAGATCTAATTTGCAGAAAAATGGCTCAGCACGTGCGTTTTAAAACTTTGTACAATTCTTAGCCGTCCTTTGCAAAACAACAACGTGAAATCGCCAAAATTTGCGTCGTCTGCGAACCGAAACCGCGATGGCAAATTATTTTAATTTTCATTTGGAACTCAACGGCTATGAAGTCTTCCTTGGCGTTCCCGTCGTGATTTCTTAAGGTCCCTATTGACAATAATAATATAATATAATAGTAAGGATTTTATAAGCGCATTTAAGAATCTCAATGCGCTTACATAGCATAAATAAAAATAAAATATAACAATGATACTAACAGTCAGTAGTACCTTCACTAACATTTATAAAGTTAAATGGGATAAAAACCTATGTAGTGTTTCACAATGCTATAAATAAAATTTCCGGAACAGGAACGTTGTAAGGGCAGATTTAAAAGACGAAAGAGAAGCTGCAGAGTTAAGAGAATCAGGAAGAGTATTCCATAATGTAGGTGCACAGAAGGAGAACGCTCGTTCACCGTATGTCACAGAATTTATAATGACAGTAAGAAGTGATTTGGAGGATGAACGTAGAGTAGTACGTGATGGATGATATTCTTGTAACAGGGACGACAAATAGACCGGAGAAAGTCAATGAAGAATCTTAAAAGTAATAAGAATAACTTCAAACATTATACGGGATTCAACCGGCACAGACTTTCTGTGTAAAGATTAAAACGCACGTCATCTTCAGTACGCAAGCACTACGACAACGACCACGCAGGTGCTGTCCCTGAGGACCTTCTTAGCTGTTTCAAAGTTCTCAAGAAGTGCATGAACAAATTCCATTGTCTTGTCAACGAGATGCTTTACATCAAACAATTAACACGAGTTTGAACGAGCAAACGTATTCTATCCGTGCTAAAGTATTTGTGTAGCTACCTCCCCTATGCAAATTAGTTGTAACTCTTGAACTCGCGTTTATTAATTTTATTTTCATTCGTACCCTTGATATTGGCGTCATGAAGTCGCCGAAACGTCAGGACATTATATCGCTCCTTTTTACCTGTCTAAGTAAAACGCTTGTATGATAAAAATATATTAAACAATTTTTTGGCCAGGATTTAAATTTTTTTTTTTGAAGTCAAGAACGTCTTTCGAGTTTTAATTCTAGCGATTAGGTACTAAAACATCTTTCCCTTTAAGATGGAGCTTATGAAAACATTTGTTCTGTTTACCACCTCATTACAAACTTGACAAGGCAATATAAAAAGTCCTTTTTTGGGCATCACTTTCTGACTCTGTAACTTCCTGTCCATTTTAAGTATTAATGATGGAAATGTTGTGCTTGGGCCTTTTAACAGCTGTACCTCGTGAGTCCACAACATTTTGACCACTGTAATTACGAATATCATTGTTGATAAGAGTACAGACTACGGCTAAACCACTGTTGATTTGTTAATGACCACAGAAATGAATTTTGTGTACGCTGATCGGCTAGTTCGGATGTCTAGCAAGTATTATCACCT